CAGTCTACAAAATCCATAAACTTCACCTGAGTCATCAGTGGCTTTTTGAAGTACAGGAAGAGCTGCTTAGAAGCTCCCCGTCCAATTATTGTAATATTACATACCAAATGAAAGAAAGTAAACTTGCTTTATGTGTGCTGAATCAAAAAAACAACCAATTCTTGCAACCAATGTGATCTGATCTCTGTTTTCAAAATATACAATTTTTAAAAAAATTAATGTTGTTGCATTTGTAGGCTGATTAACCAGTTTTGGTTCTGACAGTAATCCCCTCCTTGCTCTTAAGAAAAATTTTACATTTTTCCTTATCAGTGTCAGCTTGGTGGAGAAATTCCTTGTGGTAAGGCTATAAAAAGAATTAGGACTGGGACTGTAGCTGCTATTAATTCTTAACACTTCTGCTTTCTTTCCCTTCAAATGTTAACAGCCAAGGACACACAGGCAGCACTTGGGTCGTGTAAGTCTGAGCCTTGGTCTGTAGGGTGCAGGCTGAAGTTCTGTAGTGAAAGAGAGTAGAGTACCTGGGGAGGTGATTCCACCCTCTCCCTCTAGATGACAGCAGAACATTGGCCTTCCTCTAAGGGATTGCTTCCTGAATAGATTTCAAAAGAATATTGTCATTTGTTGTCCTGCATGATGACTTTTTAAAGCGTTTGGAATGACTGTTGTAATCTATTGCCCTGTGTCAGAACAAACTCTGCATGCTTTGGACAGCAGATAAAACAAAAGAGCTGCAGGAGTTTGGACATGTTCTTTCAGGGGTCCCTGTTTCTGCAGACACAAGCATGTCTGCACCTGTGGTGAATGGCTCTGTATTTCACAGGTAAAGAGCAAATCAGAGGCTTCCTGACAGGGAAGATCCCGACCCCTCAGAGGCACCCTGGTTCCTAGGGCCACAGGGAAGCGTGGTTCTGGGGACTGCACGGGAGGAGTGTGGCTGTGCCAGGGCATGGGGGGCTGACTGCACCCCCCACAGGGAGCCTGGTGTGGTACCATGTGTCCCCCCTGCCTTGGGCTCCACCTTCTCCCAGCTGGCCACCTTGCCCTGCTGCAGCACCCTCTCTACATGGCATTTGCTGCACCAAAGACAGGATGGTGCCTCTCTGTTCCCTCAGAAAAGCCAGCAAGGCCTATCCCTGTGTGGGTGCAGGCCCTTTGGGAACTGCTTTTTCACAGTGTGAAGGCCTCTTTCCCAGGGTGTTTGTGCATTCTGGGAGACTTGGTGAGGCTCAGTGAGTGATTTTCAAATGCTGAGCTGGAGAGGGAGCAGCATGCAGCTCTGCCATGACACCCAGGGCATGCACCCACACGCACCGTTGGCTATTCTGGCCTTCCTTTGCTTGGACCTGCTCCTGTAGAAAGAAGAAAAGCCTTGGCAAGTGAGTGGAGGAGGTTCTTAGGAATACAGATAATTTCTTCTTCAGAAGAAAAGCCAGAAAAAAGGTTACACAAGCTCTTCAAAAAATGTATTTAAAAGCTGTCTGTGTTCCCCTCAGAGATCGTCCTCTCTCAGAGAAACAGGACAACTTGAGCAGTTAAACAGTAAGTGGATTGTTGGTTATCTATTTTTTTAATGGCTGGGCTTTTGTTAGCTGTCAATATTGTGTCAGACACGTTTGGGTATCCCAATCACACTGCCAGAGGTTCATGTCTTTGGAGATGGAGCTACAAACAGGATTTACTGCTGAGTGTAAACAGGAAGAGGAGGAGGAACAACCAGGCAGAGCAGAGCTGGACCACTTTCTACCGTGGCTTTAGGCGTGGGTGGGGAAGTTTCCATTGAGCTCCCTGGTTGCTCTGCTCACTGCCTCAGCCCCCAGGAGCACCGTGAGAGCTGGCTCCAGTGCTGTGTCCATCACAGCAATCAAAGTACAGGAAACATCCAAAGTGCTTCCTATTACCAGTGGTGTTTACAGGAACAACAGCTCTGGGTTTTGAGGCTGGGGAATGGGGATGACAGTTTTGTTCTGCAGTTATACTTTGATTATGTAGAAGCCAGCAAATGGGCTTTGAGATAACTTTCCCCTCTTGATTAAAATATTGCTTGCTTTTTAGGGTTTACTTTCAAAACTGGTACAATAAAAAAAAATCTGAGTGGATAATGTGGTGATTTAGTTTGGCTTTTCAGTTTTTCAAGTCTATGTTGGTTTTAGGAACTAGCAGTTGGCAGTGCTTTTAAAGAAAAGGTTTATACCTGAAAGCTTTGAAAATATTGTGACTTACAGAAATTAAAATTACACTTTTGAATAATTGTCATTTTACCACTTTTTGGGGTGCAGCAGCTACTCACAAGAGACATGAGTTCTGGGTGGGAATACAGGGAGGGACTTCTTCATCCAAGCTGGAATTTTTGAAGTACAGCAGAGTAAAGCTTTTGTAACTTGAAAGTTTAGAGTGTATATAGAATATGTCCAAGTGGTTGTAGCTTAGCAGAAATATTGGGGAAAAGTGAAGAGAAGCACTTTTTCAAGTAGAGGAGGAAACGACAACAGAGTCAAGTTGGTCCTCACTGAAATAAGAGAGGCACAACCCCTGGCTGGGGGCTCTGTGCTTCAGGACAGCTCACCAGCCCAGATGAAAGCTGGACTGTTGAGGGTTACTTTAGCTTGGAGCAAGTGGGTGTGTGGGAGTGGGACTTAGACATTTGTTTGGCTCCAGGGAAGGGCACTTTTAACAATGGGAGGTTCTGACATGTTGCCGTGGCTGGAAGGCAGTGAAGGCCTGTGAAAAGTCAGGAGAGGCCAGGGTGAGAACTGGCTGGAGAAATCAGTTGTGATAAACCTGCATCTCACACTGGGAAGGGTTCAGGAGGTTGGTATGAGGTTAAACCTCCACAGAGTGTGAGGTTAGACTGTACCCTGGTCACTGACCCTCAGGAAAGTCAGATCCTGTTACTGGCAGATCTTCTGCTGAGCTTTGTGACCTTCTAGTTAGGTGTTGCTGTGATGATGAGATGCAGTGCTGTAAGGGATAAATAGATGTATCCTTTCAAAATCTCATTTTAAATTACATCCTCTTGTTTTGGACTGATAGTTAAGGTGGAACAATCTTTATTTTCAGCTGCAGTATCTTTTTGTCCTCTCCCTCTAGAGCTAATCTTAAGGACTGTATGATTTACTGTTCACAAATCTCTTATTTTGCTCCATTTTGTTTCTGGTAATACCAAAGACCTCAGTCAAGGTCTCTTACTGCTGTGTGGTACAAACACAAGGGAGTACATGATCTGTGCCCCAGTTTGGAATAATGAGTCAAAGGCTGAAGGCTTCTGCTCACTTCAAATGAAGTTAAAGTATCATCTGTGCATGTTCACTTCCAGAAAATGCAGCAAAAATCAGGCTGGAAATAAATAGGAAAAACTTCAGTCTACACAAAGGGAGGTCTGAACTACCAGAATGTGAAACTAAAAGATTTTCAAAGTGAAAGGTGACACCATCCCAGCTTTTTCATTTGCAATTGGCCTCTATTGTGAGTTTTGAGTCATGGGGCTCAGCTGAGCTCAGCCAAGCTCCAGACAGACAGGGCAGGAATTCGCAATGAGCATCTGACCAGTGACCGTGTCATTCCCAGCACTGGTGTAAGGGAAAGTGCCAGCTTAGAGGAGAGGGCTGCAAGCCCATTGTGGTGAGGATGGCACCCGATGCACCCACAAAATGAAAGCTCTGATGACATCAGATTATATAAATTTACCAGAATAAAATCAGTACTTGGAGTTTGTTCCCAAGCAACAAAGTGTCTTGAGTTAATTTCTCAGGCTAAATGTTGTGGATGGGAAAGGCAACACAAAGATTTTAACAAAGAACCAACTCAGTAGCTTTTATTTCCATTAGTACTGGAAGCATAAAAAAAAAAATAAAAACCAAGAACAGAACAGACTCTTTTACATTTTTCACTCTCTTGAGGTCTGGGAGAATTTTACATGTTGTATGTATACAGCAGGATACACAGCAGCAGAAACAGGTGGCTACCAGGACATGAACCTGTGGGTCTCTGATTTGACTGGAGCAGATCCCTCCCCTTACACAAACACCTCTGTGAATTTTAATGGCAAGGCAAAGCTGCTGAAGAACTGGGACTCTCAGCATCTCGTGTGTCTGCAGCAGAAATTAGCACCCAAAAGTACACATGAAAAACTGTCTGCATAACTGTCTGCTGCTAGTGGATGGGATTTCAGTTTTTCAAGTCTCAGCAACATACACATCAAATTGTTTCATTGCTTGGCTCCTTGCCTCTGTATGAGGTAAATCATCGGCCTGCTCAAGCTGTAGATGGGACTGAGCAACCACCTCTGCTTAAAAACCATTGTGAAGCAGCTGCTGCTGTGTTCCCCCCTTCTGTGGGTTACTGCTGTGCTGCAGACCCCATGCTGCCTGTAAATTGGTGTTGTGGTAGCACTTGGGAGCCTCAGTTGTGTACAGCATCATATAAAATCAGACTAAAACAATTATCCCCCCCAATGGATCCTGCACTGTCCTTTTCACCTTCATCTTTCTTTTGATTGAGCTGAAGTTGGGCTGAGCAGTTGCAGTCACTGGAGTTATTGGATGGAGTTAGATCTGCACAGCCCCTTGTCACTGAGCCCAAGGAGACCTTTCACTCCTTCCACTGATATTCTCTTTCTGGGTAATAGCTTCAGATGGACATTAGAAGAGATCGAAAACTCAGCTTCATTTCTGTGAATAAAAGCAGAGCCTGTCTTGCTTAGCTGGATGCATCTTGGATCACAGCTTTCAGTGGGCTGTACCCATGAGTGGTACAACTTTCCAAGGTTAGTGTCCAGGTTTGCTGCTGCTTAGCACATGAAGAGTCCAAAGGCTTTTTTCTGTCTGACTACCTTTATTATTAGTTTTTCTTTTTTAATGTTTTTCTCTCCTGTAGAAACACCAGGGCGATGAAGTCTGATGTTTCATAGTTTGGTTGAAGGACATTTTGAGAGTCTCACAAAAACGTACCGAGGTGATGGAGACATTGAGCTTTTGAGTGCGTAGAACAATCACCTAGAGCTAATTAGTGGTTTGTAGTTTTAATGGATAATCAAATGCTGGGTTCTTGTAAGAGACTAGGTGTGTACCGTATTGCTCACTCTGGGGCTTTTTACACGCCTTACACAGACATACAGACAAAATGATGGTGGCAATGAGGAGGAGTCCACTTGCTGCAGACAGAGCAGCAAAGACAGACTTGTAGCTGGGTTTTGTTTGAAATCTGGTGCACGAGTTGCCTGCCATGCCCTGATTTACCATCTGGCTTGACCCTGCTTTGTTCAAAGCAGTCACACAGATGTGGTAAGTGGTGTATGGCGACAGGTTATACAGAGTGTGCTGCCTTGCTGTGGAATAGATATTGTCCAGGACAAACTGTTTGTCCTCGTCGCCTTGGGCGTGAAGCTTCAGCTCATAGGTGTGAACAACCGAATTGGGGGCACACCAGCGTATCTGTGCAGAGCTGTCTGTGACTTCAGACACCTCTCTCAGCCTGGGTGGATCTGGAACCTCATCCTCCCTCGACATGCCAGGACATAAACATTGGGACACCCTCTGGAGTTCACTGCAGGGCTTCTGGAGGTGCCTGCAGGGGTTGTAGTCACAGGAGGTGTACGGCAGTCGCACCGGGGTTTCTGTCGAGTGTTCGTCGTAGTCGTAGTCGTCCACAAAGTGTATCAGTGACCTGGTGGGCAGGGGCTCTGAGCGAGCCTGGGTCCCTGTGGAGTTCAGCTGGGGTAGGCTCGTTTGGGCTGTGTCTCCCCCAGCCTGAGTGGCAAAGGAGTGAACACCATGGTCAGTGGCATCAGGGATTCCTCGTGCTCTAGTAGAATAATCACTAGTGGGCTGGCTGAACGGGCCCTTCTGGGGAGACGTCGCGTCGGTTGTTCTCAGCTCTCTCTTCAGCTGATCTGTTCCAGTTTCCCTCGTGGAGCTGTAAAACGAGGACTGACTGTAGAGCTCTCTGACAAAATCCATGGGGGTGGTGACGGATGCAAAGGAAGGGGGGTTGCTCGTGGGCTCAGAAACTGCCTCCTCCTCCTGGGAGGTACTGTTGGCCTTTGTAAGCAGCAGCTCAGCTGGGCTGGCTGCCGTCGTGCCCGTTGGGTTCCTCTGCGTTAGGGAGCTGGTGTGAGTGTCCTGGGTGAGCAGAGCAGAGCCTGTTGTTCCCACTGCAGCCGTGGCATTGTAGCTGGTAGGGCTGAGGGCATCGTGCTCCGGAGAGGGTGTGCTCCAGTCGGGCAGCGTCACGTTTCTCTCAGACTGGCATTTACTGTGGAGCTCTAGCAGTGACAAAGAGGTTGAAAGTCTGCTCCCATCTTCCTGGGATGCGTTGCAGAAAGTCTCTGAAGCCCTGCAGAGGGGACGAGTTAGAACAGACAACATCCATCAGAACGTTACAGGTTCATGTAAGGCTGCTTGGGCTGGAATTGGCAACCTGCTGTCCAAAAACAGTCCTTATGTTAAAGAAGACATGAAACCTAGGCCAAAACTAGGTTGTCTAACAACAGTCCTGTGCTTGGCAGATGGCCTTCCACAGCACTGGGAGTTTAGCTGACTAGGTTTTTGGTTTTGTAAGGTGCAGGAATATCTTTTGCCAGAGAGGAAACATCCTTTGGTACAAGGACTGTGAACGTGCTGTGTTGGGGTTCGAGGCAACTTGTAAAGGGTCAGACTTTAATGCCACACTCAGAGGGGAACGCCTGCAGAGGGATGTCACAGGTCCCCAAGATCCTTAAGCCAGCTGGTTTAGGCAGCTGGAGCTGTGCTGACACGGGATGTGCTTTTAAATGACTAAGCTCTTTCTTTACTCAGACATCGCATGTTTTTGTAAAGAATGCAACTGCTAAACCCATCCCGATGAGAAATAATCTAATTTTAACAATCTGCTTCCTTGCTCTCTCATCTACGGGTGACAAATCTTCTCGGTGGCCTTTCAAAAGCAAGAGAAATCCTCCCTATGCAAAGTACTTTTAACTAGGGCTTATTGTAGTTATTCAGTAGAACAGCAGGAGAACATGGAAACAATAGGTGACAAACGGTGCACTTTGCAAGGGGGTTTTGGGCTGCCCGTGCTGATGCAGGCTTGGGGAATGAAAGGGCAAGGAGGAAATAATTTGCTAAAGTTCTTGCAAAGTCTTCAGTTCCTGCTCCCACTGCTGCCCATCAGGACCACCAAGCCAGTTCATTTTTTTATCTACAGCTGATAAGAGAAAACTGAACCAAAACAGGAAGAAAAGAAGCTATTCTCACCTTAGCAGAAATCCACAGCTATTAACTCTTTACACTGTTCTACATGTATTTCCATTGCATTTGTTCACATTCAAGTATAATTCAGCCTTGCTTTGTCCCTCAAAGGGATTTTGTTTTGCATTTCTACCTCTTGTGGAAGGGAACACAAGGAATCTGAATAACTTTGATGGTACTGAATGTTTTGTCCTCAAATAATTTGCACATTTAAGTTGTGTCTAAAGAGCTTTATCTCCTTGAACTCACTTACTTTTGCAGCACAATTTTCTTAGGCTTGGAGAGCAGCCAGGAGAGCTGGCAGTCACATAGGAGAGGATTTCCAGACAAGTTGATGATGATGCTGGCCGATGAATTGGTATTCCACGGATTAAAGGAACTCAGGTTACAGCTACAAGATGATAAAAGCAATCATTAGCAAATGATTCTATGATATTAGGAAAATCTTGTTCACTGAAAGGGTTGTTAGGCGTTGAAATAGGCTGCCCAGAGAAGTGGTGGAATCACCATCCCTGGAGATATTTAAAAGATGTGTAGATGAGGTGCTGAGGGACGTGGTTTAGTGTTGGGCTGGCAGTCTTAGGTTAGTGGTTGGACTTGATGATCTTAAGGGTCTTTTCTAACTAAAACAATTCTATGTTTCTGAGCTATCCTAGCTGCAGGAAGAGTGTGACAATGTGACCCTCCCAGTCTGAGCGCTCAGAAGATTCTCTTTTGTCTGACTTTAACCTCCATTCAGGGATTTAAGCTGGGGTCATGATTTTAGCACTTTGAAGTGGCCTTCCCGCAGGTAGTGTAAAGTGCTGTGTAAATTCAATGAGGCAGTCTAGTGAGGGCTGGAATCTGTTGGGGTTTTTTTGGGGTTGTGTGGTTGTTGTTGTTTTTTTTTTTTCTTTGCTTAAATAAGTCTTATTTTTTTTAAAACTGGTACCCAGAGCACAGCCAGTACTCTAGGGTTTGTTCTCCCATATGTTTATTATAGATATTATTATATAATATCTGTATTATAGAAATCATATATAGGTCTATATTATAGAAATCATATATAGGTCTATATTATAGAAGTCTTTTAAGGTGCTTTCCACATTTTTTTCCTTTATGCTGACCGCAGTGTGTGCAGGTTTCCCTACTCTTATTTTAATAAATCACTTTCAGATTTTTGTCTTCTTTAGTATTAACAGGTGTGTGACATACTAAGTGCATCACACTGAGGTGTTACCTCTAGAATAAAGACTAAACTGCTACTTCTACTAGTGCTGAACAAGGAACTGTATTAATCTCTCACACTAAAAGTGGGACAGGATTTTTGTCTGCTTTCAAGGTGCAGTTTTTAGGAAACTGTCAGCAAAATTATCTGAGGAAGAACAAAAAAGAAAACTCACTTCTCAAAGGAGAGATGGCTCAGATGAGGAGCGCTGTCAAACATCTCTGTCCTCACAAAGCACAGTGAGTGGGAGTCTTGACAGTTCAGCTCTTGGAGACCAGGCATGGACTTGAAGAAGTCAGTATCAAGGCTTCTCAACCGTAGCATCTTTGTCAGGTGAAGTGATTTGAGGTTGGGTAAGTCTCTGGTCCACTCTGGTTGAACTGAAGCAGAAAAAAAGATTGATACCTGTTGCCTAAACAGAGCATTCCTGTGGATTCCTGCCTAGGTACAAGTTTTGAATTCATTGAGACACAAAATATCTCTGTAGTCTTCTGCAGCTGTTCTCTTTGGGAAAGGAACAGAACAAAAATCAATACACCAGTGTATAAACTCCCATGCCATCACATTTTTGTAATATTACCTGCAGGTCATCCTGTGGTAGGGCAGAGGAAAAGAAGGGAGATAAAAGAGCAAGAAAGCTGTTAAGAGATAGGGAATAGCTTTCCCATTAGGTGAGATTAAATGAACAATGGTTCAGTGAAGTGGTGAGTGGGGGGAGATAGGAGAGGTCTACAAAGTCCTGACTGGTGTGAAAAGGGCAAATAGCTTATTTCTCCTAGCACAAGAAAATGAGCTGAGGCAGGAAACTGAGAGGTTTTATACAAAAGTGCCTTTCCATCCCGTTAAGTTACACTTAAATTAAATTACACTTGATTGTGTAGCTCATGACTGTGTGAGGGATTAGGCAAATTCATGGAGGAGACTTGGTGGTGTAACTGTTAAACGTGAGTTGAAGTGAAAACTCTACTTTGAGGAGTCCCTGAGGTCCTGGCTCTGCCCCGGGCTGAGAGCACAGGGGCAAGGCATCTAACATCTGCCCACCTCAGTTATAAACCGAGGCAGGCAAAAGCCACACTATAGATTGCCCCGGGCAGGGACTGTCTCCCTGTGCAGGAGTGTTTGGGTGGTTGCAGCTCACACAAAGCCTCTCTCTGTGCTGCTTCAGTACAGCAGTGGAAGGGAGAGTGTAGCTGTGCCCACACACAAAGAGTTCAGCACTGAACTCTTCAGTGTTCAGTTTTCGACTGAAAAGAGAAATTAATTTCCTCCTGTGTGTCTCAAAGCTAATCTCAGGGCTGACAGTGGAACTGGGATGGAGGTGGGTGACTACAGTGGGGCAAACAGTCCTGTTTGGTGGTGACCGTTCTCTGCCCTTCCTTTGGAAGGCTGCTCTGCGTGAGTTCCTCCCCAGCAGTTACAGGACTGGCTGGAGTGCCCTGCACGCCTGGACCAGCTCTTTGCAGCCTTCAGCGTGGGATGTTCCCCCCTCCAGCCCAGGGTGGGAGCCATCCGTCGTCCCAGCACGGCTCCTGCTCCCCCAGCCTGACCCAGCCCCATGTTTACAGGGGGACACCCAGACACTTACTGTTCTCAAGAAAGGTCCCACTCAGATCAAGCGTGCTGATGGTGTTGCCAGGCTGGCTCGTGGCCTCACTGGGAGACGTGCTGATGGCAAAAGCAGATTCCCTAATTCCTCTGCCCTCATCCTGCCCGAGCAGTGTTGCAGAGAGGTTCAGGAACTGTAGCTGAGGGTAACAGGAAAAAGCCAGCGGCTGGATTTCCATCAGTGGGTTTCCAGCCAGGGACAACCACCTCAGGTTCGGCAGGGCAGAGCCGTGGCACGATGGCACAGATGACAGCTTATTGAAGCTTAAGTCCAGGGAGAGAAGACTGCTGAGGGCTTCAGGCCCCCAGCTGATGGCCCGGAGCTGGTTGTGCCGCAGCCAGAGGCGGCGCAGCCGCGGGAGGTTCGCCATCTCCCAGCCCTTCACCTCCTCCAACAGGTTGTCGCTGAGGTCCAAGGTCTCCAGGGCTTCTGGCAGGCAGACGGGGAAAGCTGTCAGACTGCTGTTGGTCAGCTGCAAGGTGATCCAGGTCTTGTTCTTCCGAAAGGTTGACGTTCTCCCAAGAGTCTTCCTGAGCCAGGTGGAAAAAGGTGGTGCTGTCCCTGGCTGCTGCAGGCTCTGCTCTGCTCAGCGGGCCCCACGCCCCTGTGCTCCCCACCAGCAGGGAGAGGATGAGCAACCCTGAAAACATCCTTCTCCTGAGCGCCTTCCAATTAACCTGCAAGATCTGTGTGGGTTTCTTTCAGGGAGGGAAAAACAAAACATCAGCATTAAAAGCTAAATTAATATCCCTCCAGGCAGCTACAAGCTGTTTAAAGGTGAAACATTTATAAGTCCTTTCCTATTGCATCCAGACAGCGTAAGGAAGTGATAATTAATGTCTCTTCTGTAATTAAGCCTAAGTAAACAGGAACCCTCGGGGACAGAGGTATCATGCAACCTTAGTCTAAGCTGATCTATGGTTTGTCATGCAGAAAGCAACCGAGTTGTGTCTGGCTCCCACACCTGTATGCTCCAGTACCAGTCTGGCACCCAGAACAGCAGCAGTGTGGGAGGTGGGCTCCCCAGCAGCACAGGCGTAGGAGGAAGTGCCAGTGCTGCTCCAGGGTAAAAATACCAGTTGGTGCTGTACTGGACAAGCTGCAGGAGAGCTGCATTTTGAGATTTAGCCCCCTCCTCTGCTCCCGACCAGCTTGCCAGGCCACGACAGGGCTGGGGCCCTGCTGCAGGTGAGTGTCACAGACACGCTACACACCCCAGCTCCTGGGGAAAGGAGGTGCTGAAAATGCAGCTCCTGAACCACGTCTCAAAGTGGTCAGAGTGTGCTCCTGGATCAGGGCCCCAGAGGCGTGGGTATCAAGAAGCACGTTATTCATTGTTACAGCTCCCTCTGCCCCCTCCTCAGCCCACCCCAGCTGTGTCTTTGTCATAAAAAAAAAAAAAAGGAAAAAAAAGCCAAGACAGACAGAAAAAAGTTGCAAATTACTTTTGCAAGGCTGTTCAGGTAATGTGTGTCAGAGGAGGGAATTAACCTGACCCCCAAACCAGTGCTTTCCTTGCTAAGCTGTCTCCTGTGATGCCGGGCATCTTAATGATCGTTCCACGTCCCGAGATGTTTTACATTGTAGGGGGGTGTCTGAAGCCTCATGTAGTATGAAATATCTCAGACTTATTCCAAACCTTAATAGCTACTTCCTAGCTCCTGAGCCGTGCCAGGTCTTGCCCAGGCCGCCATCCGTTGCTGCCATCCCAGGTCTGAAGTAGGGACCAGCAAAACAGTAGAATTTGGTTGCCCCACGTCCTTTTTGCCATGTGGAACTGGGCAAGAGCTGAGCAGCCTC